AATAATAATAATAATAATANATATATATATATATATATATATATATATATATATATATATATATATATATATATATATATATATATATATATATATATACATATATACGTATATATATACATATATATATATCATATACACATACAAATACACATACACTACAAATAGACATAGACATAGACATGCACGTGCTCAGAAATTTAGACGATACATATTGCACACTCACTCACATGATACACCCATCCTACTTTGAATAGACAACAGAGAAAGCCTCGTCCCGCTCCGCATCTGACTCGACCAGCACGCCGAGATTAAAGAGCACGTGGTCTACTCATACGGTAACACGTGCAAATAACACATACGCACATGCACATCTATGTGCTTTTAAGGGTACATAATCAAACAAACCTGTCGTATTAGTAGAACGGGTTGCAGTATCCATGTTGAGAGGGAGAGAGAGAGAAAGAGAGAGAGAGCCACGTTACAGACACCACCCCCCTTTGTCAGAATACGGCGGCAAACACTCCCATTGCGACTGTGGCGATGTATGCATGCATAGAAGACACACAAACATATCTGTAACTACTGAAGCATGCACACACATGAATCAGCCAGAAGACACACATACATGCATATACACAAAACACACCCTAAACCCTATAACTCACCATCAACTCACATATATACCCACAAAACAAACCCTAAACCCTACCCATACCGTACCATTAAATCGTAGAAGCCCTGTGTGGAGAGTGCCTCGTCACAGGCGCAGTCTACCTTGGCCAGTATACCCAGTCCAACGAACACGTGGCCAAGCACGTGACCAGGCAGCGCAGCGGTGTGTGTTGCTGGGTCGTCCATTAGCATGGCTTTCATTTCCCTGAAATCTGAGGGGGGGGATAGATAAGAGAGTGACTAAGCGTAGTGTGTTGTCATTCCTCTGACATCTAAGGGGGTGGATAGATAAGAGAGTGACTAAGTGTAGTGTGTGGTCATTTCTCTGACATCTGAGGGGGTGGAAAAGAAAGAGTGACTAAGCGTAGTGTGTATGAATGAATATACGGACGCGGATTGGAAGGATGCATGAACATTATATGAGGGGGGGAGGGGGGATAGGAGATAGGGAGTAAATACAGGAGCAGCAGAGTGGACTGAAAACAAATGGAATGAATATCGCATGAAAATTTCAATAGGAAGAAGTATTCGGTATACTTGGTACAAGGGAGTTTACGAATAGAGTCGCGTGCATAAGTATTGCGGAGTACTTGGTACAAGGGAATATATAAATAGTCAGATGCATAAGAAGTATTGTGTGTTACTTGGTACAATGTAATATATAAATAGTCGCATGCATAAGAAGTATTGCGGGTACTTGGTACAAGGGAATATATAAATAGTCACATGCATAAAAATAATATATAGGTTAATAATATATCAGAACCAAGTAAACAATAACAAATACACTCGACTAACAAATGTAAGGCTTAGTCTGCAAAGACATACTAAGGTGTAGGGTAAAAGGGTTAGGGTATAGATAAGCAAAGCCATAAATACAAGTGCGCTGTACTGACAATTACAAAGATTTTTTGAATATTCATTCTGCCAACAAACACAATGGTCCAAGGTTTAGGTTTGAAGATGTAGAGTTCAGGGACAGGCCCAGGGATTGGAGGTTTGAAGTTAGAATCCAGACTTACAATACATACAATACTTACACATGCGCTGTACTGGCCAACACTAGTATGTTCATAACCACTGAGCTTACCTAGATATCCGTTCTGTCCAAAGAACTCTGATGTCCATGAGCGCTGGTAGTCCCTAAACGCCGTAGGGATATACATGCCTGATGAGTCATACGGCCCCTTTACACTACCCTCGACTGCTGCCGACGTTACCAACTGTCTGAGGGTGCCTGCGGAAGCGTGCGAGAGTGGGTGTTTTGTGAGTGGGGGTGACATATATGCATATGTATGTACGTGTATGCATATGCACGTACGTGAATTTATATGCGTGTGTATACGTGTGCATGTGTGTGTATGTGCGAGTGTATATGTATATATATGTGTGTTTATGTGTGTACGTGTGTACGTATGTTCGCACATGCCCCGTTGAGCACACACATGTCCGGCGGTGAAAGAGAGGTGTTGGTGTACCTATCAGTGCTATACAGTGCGAGGTTGAATGGTATGTGTAGGTGCACACAATGCGAGTCTGACACATATGGCACATACTGCGCATTCGACACATAACTATGTGCATATGCGTGCCCTATACAGTGGTCTCTATACTGTGATATCTCTTGGTCGCGATGACACTGCTATCTGTGTACATCTGGTTGTGCGTTTGAGCGCAAACAGGTGTGTAATATGAGTGTACACACGTGATGCATACACATACACATACAGATAGACCTACACACACACTCTCTCTCTCTCTCTCTCTCTCTCACACACACACACACATATATATATATAATATACATATATATATATATATATATAAC